AGTAGTCACTTATATCCTGAGCCCATCTTCGTGTTGGTAGGCCCCTGCTTTATATACCAGGCCTTCTTCTATATTTTTTTTTACGAAAACAAACTTGTAGGTGCTTAATACAAAGCTTTGAAAGAGAACGCTTTACAACGTGCCGTTAGTGCGTACCACCTAAAAAAACCTGTCTTGGAGTCATATTATGAAAAAAAAGGGGGGGGGGGGGATGGGGCCGAGAATCTTTTTCACCTGTTCTTTATTACCTACTGGAGCATATGTCGGCTTTAAACTAACGCCGAACGCCCTATCCGCAACCATCTCCTGCAGCCTCTCCTCTTCCCCACGCATGATCTCCCCACACAATTCATTTGTCTTCAACATTCTTCGCCGTGTGCTCTTCGAACTCCCACTAACACTTTTGTCCTCTGGACGTCTAAGAATTCCAGTTCCGAGGTCCAAATTTGTGGGAATGGAAAAGACATACTGCTCTTTCACAAGCATGTCGTAAAAGGCTTGTAATAAGCGGTTTGTTTAAATCAGATATATTGAAGGTTTTGGCAAAAACATGGCAGCCTACGTGTAAACCGCAACATAACCTGTCAATCTTCCCTTTCCGAGCAATCGCAGAAGAAGAAGAAGAATGGATTCTATTGAAAAGTAAGTAAATGTCCTATAGGGCATATAAGGCTAGACTCATATTTTTATCGACCAATCGGCACAAGATGGATGATGTGGTCAGCATCACGCCAGCCGCCTTTACTTCCAAGGACTGCAGCCGCCACCCACTCAAGGCTGGGTCGACCTGGGAGTCAGGTCATTTTTGAAAAAAGTCTGGCTTCGCCAGAGAGCGAACCCACGACCTTCCGATCTGCACGTGAGCGTCTAGCCGCTACACCACAGCGACTTACATTCTAGTGAAAAGGCATTTCATTTATAGTATAATCAAGTTTCTTCATGTCCAATCGAATATTAGCGTCATACTGTCTACTTTTTGATGTCTTTGTATAAGGAAGATGAGGTCTCCTCACCAATTACTAGAATTATTTAAAAAGTACTTCAAAATACAGTAAACTTATCAATATATACTGAAACAATAAGTTACAAAGATAATATAGAAAAAACACTATTGACCTATATCCCAAACCCTATATATTGGAGATGGATTGAACAAGTTATAGTTGCATATAAATTACAACCACCAGAGCTTAGCTCACTAGGTAACAACGGATAACACTCAAAGCTGAGACCAACATCTGACCCATGTGATCATGCGATTCTAACAAACAAAGTATGACTCATGCACATACAAATCATTCATCATCTCAGATGACCTTGGTTCAGCATATCGCCATAATCATTATTGATTTATGGGTAAAAATGGAAAGCCTACCACTACTTGAGCTAACACGGACAGACGACTGGCCAGGTTGTCACACAGACATAAATAAAGTAAGAATAAGGAGCAACACAAATATGGAAAGTCTTATTCAGTCAGTGGGCTCTGTGGCTAAGTCGATGTCAACGCTTCGTAATGCTGGGTTCGATCCCAGCTGCGGGCACCTTGCGTTGGTTTTGACAGTGGTATCAAGAAAGCCGACCGTCCAGAGGCAATGACAAACTACTGGACGTAAATTTGCCTAGAAAAACCACACAACAGCCAAGGGGCTGTTGGGGGTTGGTTCTGCGACGTCCTGTAAAGGATACGCAACTAACCTAACCTTATTCAGTCACATTAAATTAATTAAATAACAAAGTAAACCAGACCAAAATTAATAAAAGCCTATTTTGTGGTTTTATAGAAGAATGCTTAGAATACCTTGGACAGCCAAAAAGAGCAACCAAGAGGTTTTGAAAGAGGCGGGAGCCCGAAGACAACTTATCACAGACATCAGAAAGAGACAGTCATCATTTTTCGGCCATGTTAATGAGAAGAGGGAAAATAGAACATGTTGTGACTACTGGAAAGATTTGTGGAAGGAGAGTTAGAGGAAGACAACTAGAGAAGATGCTTGACAGTCTTGTTGCATGGCATGGAGGTGTGTCGGCACACGAACTGATACATGCTGCAGGAGATCGCAGATTATGGAGAGGCATGAGCGCCCATGCCAGTCGGCAAGGCACCTGATGATGATGATGATTTCAACAAAAATGTGCCCATTTAGGGATAAAAGCCTGAAAGATAAACACTGTGTCTCAAAGAGCTACTATTCGGTTGCCATTCCATCTGGAGCAACCCCAGAAACCCCCCTATTCAGCTGTATGAACTAACCTGCTATCCAGTGTAGCTGGGTAGTGGATACTGGCAATGTTACATAATTATGGACACAGAGAACAGAAAGTAAAAGCAACAATTCATTAGGAAACAAACCAAAAATGATACACTCAAATCTTTGCCCAGTGGCAGCACTAAACTCTCTCATTCACCCAGGAGGCCTGGATAGTGAACCATAAAGTTAAGAAACAGATCTGTTTTATACAGAGAAATTATTGAATAGAGTATCTGGAACTCATCCTCCATGTTTGGGTTTTGTGGGGAAAGAAAATAATAGGCCCAATGTCCCTCCAAGACGTAAAAGTCGACTAATTGGGGGAGTTATTTCTAAGGCAGAGTGCATCTGCCAAAAGGGCAATGAACCAGAGGCCTGCATACAAGTAAGTCAGATCTGTAAAACAGATGTGCACGCAAGACTAAAATTCTAGAACAAACCCACAATCCAGAAATAGACCTAAAACCATTAATTTCACTGGAGTTGAAAGCCAGTGAACAGTAAGAAGAAGAAGAAGAAGAAGAAGAAGATGAACTCATCCAAAGCCAAAAATCTGCAAAGACACATGCAGACCAACACTTTCTGGTATGGGACATAATGATTATACTTTTTTTGTTTTTGCGGGTCTTTATTTCTTTCGCTGATGAAGGCTTGTCACAACAATATCCAAGCTATGGCGTGTGAATCCTTGACAATTATTAACAAGGGAAATGAACTCTTGAGGGCTCGGAAATGTGATTTTACAGAAGAATCATTAGAATTCTTTCTGCGGCTACAAAGGAGCAATCCAGATGTCTTAAAAGAAGCGATAGCTCGAAGAAACTTACCACAAACATCAGAAAGAAAGTCATTATTTTTTGGTCACGTCATGAGAAGTAAACTGGAGAATGTTGTGACCACTGGAAATATGTGCGGGAAGAGTCAGAGGAAGGCAGTGTGAGACGATTCTTGACAGCCTTTTGTCATGATATGCGAGTGATGATCGCCTACGCTAGTCAGCATGGTATTTGATGATGATGAGCAAAGAAACTGTAAGGATCAGTATAGTCACGCCACATCCTTCAGGAGGATTTCTTATCTTAGAATTACTAGTGGGAAAATGAAACGAAGCAGTGGAAGACAATTTTACCCTTGTAAGCCTCTTCATTTACATTCCATACTAAATGAAATAAATACTACTGGTTCTTGTTATTGGCGCTGTTTTCCTGTCTGTGCTCTAAGATCCCCAAAACAAACTGGTGAAAACAAGCTGAACATAACAAGATGGTTCTGACCTGAATCTCAGCACACAAATAAGAGCATGCAGATTAACAAAACAAAAAAAAACCACAAACAACGTAGTATTAACTATTTCAGTAGAAAAACCCTTATACATATCTTGGTGTTCCCAAACATAAGCTTCAAAACCACATATACACCACAATTATGGCAGTCTATTAAGAACAAATAAAATAAATCTGCATTCAGAAAACCACTGGTAAGTTTATAGTTTTATTTGCATTTCATGCGATCAACACAGTATGTTAAACACAAACAGTTCACTACATCAGCTTTGTACAAAATATATATACATTTGTGTTTCTACATATTCCCTCCATAGCAAAAACATATCTACACACAGCCACAACCGTAAGTCAACAAGATCAACATATTTCTTGTGACAAACATGGATCTAAAAATGCAGAAATCAAAGAAACCCAGTCATATAGAGACAATTAAATATGCTATTCTCTTTTCAACCCTTAATCTACACCAGAGCTTTCCAAACTTTTCATACTGATGACACACTTTTCAGACAAACATAATTTTGTAACATAGTAACGCAGTCAACTTAGAAGCCATATTAAAACTACCTCCTTAAAAGAGATACAGGACATACATAAATTGTTCAATGCTTTACATTCATGCAACACACCCTGACACTGCAGCAGACATACCAATGTGTCATGACAGTCTGGAAAGCTCTGATCTACACAGTTTCTGCCTCTAAGCAACAAAACTGAACACTGTATACAATTGTTCTTTATAAGCTAAGGAACACACTTCAAGCAGTAAAGCTATGAATTTCACACAATACACAAACATATTATATGTATAATACTGATGGTTAATAATTGTGTTACAATGTCTATATATGTATATATAGTCTCTGAATATATAATACAGTAATTTCAACATTAAAATTAAACCTTTATAAGGTATAAATAATTATTATGTACCAGTAATTAATTACCATTAGGTAGCCAAGGGTTTAAAGTTTTATATATGCCAGGTCTAAGCTTTAAAAGGTATACTGACTAGATGCTTCCTTTATGCCTATTTGTTTTGGAACTGAATGTTGGTTTGGGATAAATCAATCTGTGGAAGTCAGACAGCAACAGTGGTTAGCATTGTACTTGTTTAGTACTGGAGCCAAGCATGTGAAACATTATTTAGCTTAGTTAGACAGCACAGATGAGTTATATTCAACATATTTGAGCAAATGAGAACAGTGCAAACCTGGTTACTAGAAGGGAGGGGGGGGGGGGGGGGGGAGAAAACCGGAACAAGAGGTAAATATAAATGAATATAAAAGTGTGAAGAAATAAATTTAGAAAGAGTATGACAAATGATTAAAAACTAAGATAAAACACACAACAACAGCAAATAGTCTCTACAATGCTATCTGGAAAGATCGTAAGGTGCCAATTTAAAAAAAACAACAACAGTATAAACAGAAGTATAAATATGTGACAAAAGATACAAAATTCAGCAGGGCTTATGTGTGAAGACAGAATAAAATATAGTTTGAAGACACTGGAGTAAAATGAGCACAGAGTCAATGTAAACTGTTTGAAGACACTGGAGTAAAATGAGCCTAGAGTCAATGTAAACAGTTTGAAGACACTGGAGTAAAATGAGCACAGAGTGAATGTAAACAGTCTGAAGACACTGGAGTAAAATGAGCCTAGAGTCAATGTAAACAGTTTGAAGACACTGGAGTAAAATGAGCACAGAGTGAATGTAAACAGTCTGAAGACACTGGAGTAAAATGAGCACAAAGTCAATGTAAAAAATTTGAAGATACTGGAGTAAAATGAGCACAGAGTCAATGTAAACAGTCTGAAGGTACTTGAGTAAAATGAACATAGGAGTAAAATGAGCACAGAGTCAATGTAAACAGTCTGAAGGTACTTGAGTAAAATGAACATAGGAGTAAAATGAGCACAGAGTCAATGTAAACAGTCTGAAGACACTGGAGTAAAATTACCAATGTACTAATACTTGTTAGCATGCAGATTTTAACAAAGAAATCATGAGCTATTTAAGCAACAACAAAAAAGCTGAATATCCATTTAAAAAGGTTGCAAACCAACCCCAGCATTTTTTTTTTGGCTCTTTATGTTTGTACTAGGCAATTTTATGTTTAATAGTTTGCCCTTTCTTTCTACACAAGTCAGCAATCAGCATTGTTGAAATCATTGCAAAGCCTGCATATATATTAAACTGGGTTTTTGTAATCACAGTTGCTGATAATTCAGTAATGAACTGAGAAAATTCACCAGCATCCACAGCTTTGAGCTTCTACCGATGCTTGTTCGCCTGTCCTCTGTGCAATGTTGCTGATCCTTCAACTCAATAATAGTCATGATAGACAGATTTTTATTTCTAATACCTACCACCTTCTTGTCTAAAGAACATAGAAGCAGGCTGGCTCATAGAGTTTTGCTCAGAAACGTAAATACTCAGCCATATAAAATGTCACTTCATGTGGGTTTCGGGGCGGAGGGTCAGATCCACTACCCCCTAACAATAATGTCTTAGAAGTCAATTAATTAGAGGCGTTTCTTTTAATGTCAGAGTGCATTTGCCTGAGAAGCAAGAGACAAATGTCTTTATAAAGATAAGCCAACAATAATGTCTTAGAAGTCAATTAATTAGATGTGTTTCTTTTAATGTCAGAGTGCATTTGCCTGAGAGGCAAGAGACAAATGTCTTTATAAAGATAAGCCAACAATAATGTCTTAGAAGTCAATTAATTAGAGGTGTTTCTTTTAATGTCAGAGTGCATTTGCCTGAGCGGCAAGAGACAAATGTCTTTATAAAGATAAGCCAGAACTGTTAAATGGATGTGCATGCAGAACTCAATTTCCAAAACTGGAATAAAGTGGACAAACTTAAACTATCAGAACTTTCTGCTGCATTTTACAGCTGATAAACTCGAAGAAGAAACAGAAGAAGATTAAATGTCATAATGATTTGGAGTGAACAGTAATGGACAGCATAGTTGCCACACACACAAAAAAAGAGGTTAACTGCTTGCATCAGATACAGTATATCAAAGGCATGAAAGTTCATGGGGTGGGAAAGCTGGCAAACGACCAGAGTTGCCTTCCCACTTGCAGTGATTAGAATGAAATTCTGCAGAGGGCCTGCTATATGATGATGATGAACTACAAATGAACAGTAAGTTGCTAGAGGAATAATTCTTTAAGTAGACACACACAAAAGTGAGGACAATCACAAAACGATTCATTAAAAAATTGTGAGAAAGGTGTAAATTTGTTAAAGTCAAGAGGGTTGACTTCACTGCACTGAGTTTTATTTTATATGGCTTGGTCTCTCTCCGCAGAATCGCTAGCTGCCTGATGAGTGTCACACAAAGCACAAATCCTGTAGCTCCAGTGATCTCCATAAACATTGTACTCATCAACTGAATGAAACTGTTTGAAATGAACCAACAAACTTTACAGAGCAAGATAAACGGCTTGACCTCTTCGCCCCAGTAATGTAAATTTGTAACAGCAACTATCACATATATAACAGGACTGTAGTGATGCACATTTTGTATAAAACTTTGGTCATCTTTCTTCTTAGCATTCACAGACTCTAAACTCTGGTAGAAAGGTCTAGTTGTTTGTCTACTTCTAGACTTTAATCTTATTCCAAACCTTAAGTTTTGCACGCATACTGTTGGTTCCTTGCTTCTCAGGCAGAGGCACTATAACTTCGAAGACAATACCCCTAACTAGTCACTTCTTAAGACAAGCTTGTTGGATTGAAGTGGGGAAAGAAAGGGGTGGGGTCTTTTCATTTATCACCCAAATGGCTCTTGAAGCCACACTGGGTAAACTTTAGTCTGTTAATACTCAAAATCTCTATTAGAAATGCAAGAAGGCAACAACAAAAGCACACAAATTGGTGTGGAAAATTTGGGTAAATATGTTTATACATATCAAAACCTATTAACAGAGTAAAAAAATAGGACTGTTTCATTTAAATGTGTACTACCACTCTATACTCAACAACATAAGTGATGCCATCTATGTCTGGCAAACCTTGTTTTGACGTATGAAGATATGAGTTGATAAAAATAAACCTCCCTGCTGTAATAAATAATGTTCTCACAACTTTTAACAGACCCATTATTATTTATATATGTATCAAACATTCAATTAAATACTATCACAAAAATATTTACCCAACTTAGTTTTAAAAACTAATGCAAACTAATTTTAAGACATACTACTATCTTTACATAGTGTGATACAACAATTAAATAACTATATTATATTTTATTTTGTAAGATGATAAATGCATGTTACGGCTGTATTCGGGAACTCTTTTACCAGGGTTAGACATCAGAAACAATCACAAGAAAGACAATAATTATTGCAAAAGATTCAGACTATGAATAGACCTCTCACAAACACAATAATTAAAAATGAAGAGGGAAGACTTTTTTATATTGTATCTGCTCAATTATATCTGCCTGATAGCCATACATACACAAAAACATAACATGGGGGGTTGGGGTCTAAGCACTTTTACACATTTTCTAGAAAAGGGTCGGGTTTGCGAACTAAAATTAAGAATTGCTTTATCAACTGGTATGAGACACAATTAACTGTTTTCCGAACAGACAAAAAAAAATTTACAGACAAAAGTTTTATAACTGTGGAGTCAAAATTGATGCAAAAATAATGTTGACAAGTCTGTTATAGGCAGGATGTTGTTTCTAGAAGGTAGTTGTGAATATCTTGAAGGAAAAAGGCAGGGAAAAAATAAACAAATATCTATGCATTGCATAAGACATTTTAATACAATAGAACAACAGAACTCATTAAAAAAAAAAAAGAAGAAGAAGAAACATAACAATGACGTTATATTAGTTTTGATAGTTTTATTCTGATCATACTATATGCATAAATAGTCTTATCACAAGTTTTCAAACACGTTAAAGATTCGTCAAATGGGGAAGAAACAAGTACAAAGTACATCTGTTGCAAAGCTGATTAAACAAACACAAAATTTGTATAGTTTCAATTCGCATAAAGCACTGTATCAATAACAATTTTGTTACAAAAAGGAAGTAACAGGATTCAGATCTTAATTAACAATTTAACTGAAGTAAACTTAAATATATCAACCTTTCAGAAATGCTAGTTTCTGGCATTTACAATAAATATTTGGAAAACATACAACTATTTATTTTCTATTGTTTGCAAAGAGACACATCTAAGTCATATTCCTGAAATATGGTTGAGACTACAGGCAATGTAACAACCAGGTTGCAATAAATATACACAAAGCTTTTAATGGCACAAGTACTGACAGTTTCTGCAGATAGGTAACATGGGGTGAAGACAGAAATAAAGCCCACTGGAGCTGACATATACACACATATATAATATCAATACGACAATTAATCACAGGAATTCAACAACACACAGACCACTGTGGTTGATAGGCAAGAATTGTGACATTAATCATGTGTCCAGTGTCCATCTGGCATATGTATTCACTGTCTAGGTTTTCATAAAGGTATAACAATAATGCATTAATGAACTTGCTTTTTTGTCTTCCATCTGGAAGACAATAGATTAGTTAACCCAGTGATCAAAGGTTCAAATCTCCATCGAAATGGATTTTGAAACAGGCCTGGAGTCCCAACATTAAACTGGCACCACGAAATTTGCCAAATTGTCAGCAAATACGTGGGGCTAACACCACAAGCCCCATCCAACTATGCTTCACGGCATAGAAATGAATCGTTATGTCTTTAATGATTATATGATCAATGAAAAAAAGGAAACCCCCAAAAAAAAACCATAGGTCCAGCCCAACTATGCTTCAGGACATGGAAATGGATTTTTTTTTAAACGTCTTTAATGATTATAAGATTAATTAAGATTAATGAAAAAGATCATATAACCATAGGTCTAGCCCAACTGTGGTACAAGGCATGGGAATGGATCTTTGTCTCTAATGATTATATGATTAATGAATAAGAGGCAAAGATAGTCCAGCCCAACTATGCTTCAAGGCATGGGAATGGATCTTTGTCTCTAATGATTATATGATTAATGAATAAGAGGCAAAGATAGTCCAGCCCAACTATGCTTCAAGGCATGGGAATGGATCTTTGTCTATGAAGATTATATGATTCATAAAAAAGATTCAAATGATTCCAAGCCCACAATAGGACCGAATAAACAACTGCCACTTTCTCTACAAAAAATCACAGTTATTAGCAAAATATAAACTTCTTAATATTCTTGGAACAACTACTGTGAAGTTGGCTGCTCTATGGTACATTATTTTTTCTTCACAGAAAGAAAACAGCATCCACGTGTGTAAAATAAACAGCTGAAAAAACAACAACTTATGCACCGCAGTATTGAGCAGTTATATGTTTGCAGTTAATATGAAGCAAGTATGGAGGGATATGAAAACATACACATAGCTTTTTCTGAGAAAAAAGTGTATACAGTATATGTATGTATGTATGTATGTATGTATGTATGTATGTATGTGTGTGTATATATATATATACATACACACACACATACATACATATACTGAGACTGAATGCAGTTTAAATTTGGTGTGTGTGTGTGTGTGTGTGTGTGTATGTGTATATATATATATATATATATATATATATATATATATTTTATTATTATTATTATTTTTCCCCTTCAGAAATGCTTTCTGAAAGATTAACACCTAGTGACTCAAACAGGCAATACCTGGAAGAGAATCCGACAGGAAAAAATCCAAGAAACCCTATTCAACCCAACCATATAATACAGGTGTATTTTGACACAAGGAAGCCATTCAGCAACCTGCAGTTCTGTGAAGGTAGGTTCTTGTTCTGTAAACAGGAGCACAGCAAAATTTCAACACATATAACTATAAAATGCAGACATGATCAATATATAGCACAATTTATGGGCCGGGCATATATTGCTGTATCCTACCAGGTGCATTACTAGAGATGACATCAACATTTAATGAAGTCTTAAACATGAACCTTTCCATGAAATACACAAATCACTTGTCTCTTATTCCCCTACACATCTAAACACGGACGTTTAAGATTAACCATGCGATTCAAACAAGATCAAGGAAAACCTTATAAACTGTATAATGTATTGTTTGTGCTGGCATTATTTAAATTCCCAACAGACAAACAGTCTGAAAGATGTTAAGTCCTCTAAAGTCTGTGTTTGTGGCTTAGGCATTGCGAACACACTTTGTAATGACACAGTGCTGGGTTCTACCCTGGCTTCAGATGATTTGGCAGCAGAATGTCTTGTGCTGGTTTTAACAGTTATACAGAGAGCTGAACCTTCAGAAAGCAATGGCAAACTACTGATTGTAAAACTTGCCTAGAAAAACCACACCAGCCACACACAAAATATACTGAGGTTGGTTCTGCAACATCCTGTAAATATGTAACTAAATTTTTTCAAAGCCCTTAAAACGTTAAAAGTCTGAATTCTTCTTCTTCTGCCTTTAATCCCTCAGTTGGGGGGGGGGGGGGGGGGGGGGGGGGGGGGGGGGTGGGGGGGGGGGGGGCATAGGCCCCCAACCAAGTCTCATCAAGCACTTTGATCTTTAGCTATCACCATCAGCTGCATCCATGACCTGCCCATATTCATCTCTATGTCCAACTTTTTCTACGTATTTCAGGTCTTCCCCTATTCTTTTAGCCCCACTGGTTCCAAAGGAATTACAGTTTAATCATACTATTAGCACATTTTCTCAATACATGTCGTATTCAGCACAAGCATCTGATCCCTACTACTTAAATAGCTGCAATTGTTTCAGTTTTCTCTAACAGCTCTGCATTAGCAAATTGATTATACTAGGCATGTCAATCATGTGGCCCTTTGCAAGCATATATGCGACACTGCCCACAATAAAAACATTCTGCAATATTTTTTATTAAACGCTTCCAGCTGGTTTTTATGTTTGGCCCTCAAGACAACACAAATGAGACCCATATAGCTCTCTGTGGATTTTTTAATTCCACATGCTTGTATTATATTACTTTACTACTTTCCAGTCAGTAACAAAATTCATCTCTGTCACAGATCCTTTTTATTTAAAAATATCCATTAGTTAAGGTCCAGAGGATCGACTCCAATGCAATGGGTTATCCCATATAGCTCGGTCTCTCTCCGTAAAAAGGCCGTTGAGAGCCTCGCAAAAATGAACAATCTCTGTAGCTCCAGCGACAATCCCCAAAGATCTTAGTAAAAACTTCACTCATGTAATAAACAATGCAACCCTGAAATGAACCCCATGAACTCCAGAAGGCGAAGCAAATGGCATCACCAGATCCACTAGAGATCCCCATTTTATTTAGGGGCGATGTTGAATGTTGAATTAAGAATCGGCATCACAACTTTTGGGACACTCATTAGCGCACTGTCCCCATCTTCAGCAGTAAACGAAGAGTTCCAATTCTGATGACAACAGTAACTGTTTGACTGTATATCTGTCTCCCCTTTCCCTTGAGTGTTGAGAGTCTGCCAGATCCCATGGTAACTCCTCGCAGCGCCATTCTCCTCAGACCATAGTGATCTATATGCGCTTCCTCACTTTTCACTCGCTCCCAGAGGGCCCTCACAACATCTAGATTGTCATACATCAGTTCACCAAAAAGTGGTGCAGAACTGGCCAGTCTTATCTAGCTGCTCCTTTCCCAACACACCGGCATGACCTGGAGAGAATATCCAAAGGATGTTAACTACCCGTGACCTCTGAAGTGATGCTGTCCACTCTGCACGAAGCATACCTGTCTCCACCTTTCTCAACATGCTCTGTAAGTCAGTTACAATCACAGCATGTGTTTGAGCTCAGTCTCAGCTGATTCTCAAGCCAGCGGAATGCAGCAGTAACTGCCTCCACCTCCATTCTCAAACTAGACGTGACATCATATGCCAGTAATTAGTGGTAACCCAGTTAAATAATCCCACAGACTTTTTTAAACAGATGTAGTGTATGCATTTATCACTTTCAGGGTGGTGTGGGATAGAGGGTCATGAGCAAAATGATTTTAAGGCCACATGATTTTTGCAGTCCCCATGAACTGCAGAATAGGACTGTTTGTTTCTGCTCAACACCACCAGAATAAATCTCCATCTCTTACTGATAATCAAACCTGGGTCTCTTGCATGAGAACCAATCGCTTTAATTACTCTGCCAACTGTTTCTCATAAATTTAAAAACACACACAAAAAACTTCAAATAAATTAGCTGTACTGATCTGGGCCTTTGATGCGAGCAGAAACTTCTCTTTACTTTCAGTGACTGAGGCAGCAAAAACCTTAATTAATTCTACATCTGTAGCAACTAGTGGATCATAAGATTTGCTGGCAAATCAACCTTCTGACCCTTATCACTGGAAAAGTTGTGTCGCTAAGGCTTTGTTTTCCCTGTTTGCCAAAGTAGCATCATTTACAGATACCCCAATAAAACATGTTTCTAAAAATATAGAATAAATAACTGATGACAGAGCACCTTGTGCAGGTGTATTTTGGTTTAATGTCCATACAGCAGCCTTGCTGCTGGAAATGGAATTTAGTTCCTTCAGACATGTGAGCAGCTTTTTTGGGGGGAAAGAAAGCTGATGTGCCATGGTGCATTACAAGAACCTCTGAAGGAAAATGAAGCCTGTGTTACTTAAGGCAAAAATTACACACAAGCAGCTGATAATGCCACATGAAAATGCAAACCATAGTGGGCAGGCTTGTCAATCAAAAGCACTCTCTGTCACAGATGAGCCGACTGGAAGCTGTGTAAGATGCTTCATGGGTGAGAACATGAGATGGCGTATGATGCCCACAGTTTTGCATCAGTAATATGGGGTAGCTATTTCAACGTCTCGCCACACAGAGAATTCTGTCCATGAATCTGTACGTTTCTCTGGAAGCCATCGAGGATTGTAGGCGGGTCCAACCGGCGTAGACATTTTATAATTATCATAATGTTCTGACACAATACAATAATTTACGCCGTCATTGTTGTCCCAGTGTTGGTTCCCATTTTCTTCAAAGCATACGGCAAACTGTAATTTCTTGGATACGTCAAAAGTTGGTGGTATTTCCATTTTAAACGAAAAAGTGTCATAAGGTTCAGAATAACTCAACCCGGGACCAGGCACGTATGTTGCATCAATATTTTCGAAAGTTTCCCATTCATTAAGTGACAGCCGCACAAACACACTTTTTTCGAAGGCAATGTTTTTCACTTTAATCGTACCCTCCACCGTATAGTCCCTCAAAATAACATTTTCTAACGACACCAAATTCTTGTTGATCTTTTCTCTGAATGCGAGATAGTCAGATGCCGGCTGGGCGAAGCAGAGTTTGATGGGAGGCTTGCATGTCACATCTGCGTTTGCACCAAGAGTCAATGAGGATAAGATCTCAGGATTCAAATGAGGCGGTTCATCTGGACCCTCTGTGACTAAACGAACTTGTGCCAATGCAAGTCCTTTGTGGTCAGCAAATGAGACCTTCTTTTGGAGCCGGCCTGGAGAATAAGGACTATCTGGACTCGTGTCTCCATCACAGTCATTGGATGACTCTGCTTTAATTATTATGGATTTCAACGGTTTGTTTCTGCTTTTACTGACATTATGATTTTTGTCATGTGTTTGATACATCTGAGAATAAGAATAATGAATGGGATTGCCACTACTTTGAAACGAGGATGTATTCAGCCCCATGTGACCATGTGAGTGCTGACTGGAGTAGCCCATCAGATCGAAGCCTGAAGCAGGTGGACTTGAAGACAGGAGGTAGGGCGAGAAATCCATTGGTATTCTATGACTAGAAACCTCTGAGGAATTCTGAATTACTTGTAGCATTGGAAAGTCTGCAAAACAAGAACAAAATATGAGTTCCCATTTAAAACAAATTGACACAGATATAAAACTTGTCATTCTGTCACTAATGAAAACAATACTGAATATTCCAAACAATATCGATATATGCATGTGAACAGCACAATAAATACAGCCTCTAGGGGTATATTATGAGGTTAATTTCTCAAAATAGTAATAAGTTTTGGGAAGTCTTCTTCTTCTTCTTTGTGTTCACTGGCTCTAAACTCCGGAGGAAAGTTCTTGTTCATCCACTTCTGGACTTTGGTCTTATTCCAAACTTTAATTTTTGCATACACATCCGTTTTACAGATCTGGCTCATTTTTATGTACACAGATGGTTCCTTGCTTCTCAGGCAGATGCATCCTGTCTCTAAAGGAAACAATCCCAATCAGTAGCCTTTTACAAAATGCTTGCTGGGAGTGGGGAGGCCTGTTGGTCTATTCCTATATTCCTACTGTCCCCAAAATGGGGGCCCTGAACCCGCATGGGTAAGTTCTGGGAAGTAAACACCCACTGAGTGCAAACTGGTTTATAAAAATATAAGACTTTCTTTGTATGCCTGATGCACCAATGACATGAAAATGGTATGCTGAGTTGTGTATTCTTTACAGGATGTAACCAATCCTAGTATTTTTTGACTGTTGTGGTTTTTCTAGGCAAATTATATGTTCAGTAGTTTGCCACTGCTTCCTGAACAGTCAGCTCTCTGTACCAGTTGAAACCAATGCAATACAAATCGTCCGCAGCTGGGATCAAACCCGGCACTATGAAGTGCGTTTGCAAAGTGTGAGCCACAGATCCCGAATTTTGAAGTTTATGTATTGACAACCAGTAAAATGTTTCTTCGTTGTTCCACCTAGAACAATAGACTTCAAATTACTATTTTCAATTCATGACCTGAAACTTAACGCAAGTCCCTGAAGTTTCATAGTAGATGCTTTACAGGGAAAATTTTAAACTATTAAGGGAAATGGTAAAGGGTAAGACTAGTAATGGGTCCTTTTTATGCCTGTAGCTCATCAGAAATATGATGCTGGCTCACATCTGTATAGACTAATCAGCACTTAATGGGAGGTATGGTTGACATCATGCAGCCTTTACTTCCCCGAACATTTCCTGGTAACCATCTCAGGCTGGGTCAAGCTGGGAGCTAAGATCAATTATAAAATAACTTGTCATGGTAAGAATTAGAATGCAAGACCTTCAGAGAGGCAAGCATTTAAATCAGGGCTATTCAACTGCAGCCCACAGGTCAAATCTATCATGTGGAGGCTAAGCAAGTGGCCCATGGGTCATTGTCAACTGTACTGTACTAGCTATATTGCTATGCTCAGGTACCTGGCCTCCAACAATCTTCATTTTTAACATTTTGGTCCCTGTGTAAGGGTTGCCCAAGTCCTGGTCTATAGTTACTGCGCTACTGTGACCCCAAATAAGCTACTTCAGTAAACTACTTCAGAAGATACTAAATATACAGATGAAGTGGTCACTAGGGAAGTGACATTTTTTTTTTTAGTAAGCTTTGACAGATAAACAGTAAGATAACACAGCACACCATGGCTGAGTTTCATCATTAAGAGAGTTGCATTGAGTGGAGTCAAGAATTGACATCACAGCACTCAGGGCATTCCCATGTGTGCTTCGTTCTCATCTTCAGCAGTTAGCGCAGAGTTCCAATAATGATGGTACTGGTCACAATCTGGTTATATGTCCATCTTGCCCTTCCTCTTAGTGCAGAGAGCCAGCCAGACCAACTGGTTACACCCAGGTGCTCATCATTAGGAGAGTAAATATAAACAGTAAGATAACATAATACACAATGGCTGGAATTTGTAATGAGTTCTTTTCACATGTTGCTTAGACCTGAAAGCGTTTAAGAAATGAGCCACTATGGAAGAAAGACACTTTCTGTGTACACACAAAAAAAGAGCTGGTATGGATGGAAAGTGGTATTCTGTGTATGCTGAAAGGTAAAATAAACCAGCCGCTTTGAGTTTTTGAATATACTAAAGGGTTAGAAGTTATTAAAAACTAAATGTTCTGTGATTGTGTCTGTCCATTTTTTTTAATGAGTTCCCTTCTATTTATGTCTGTATTCCTTGTAATTGTTGCTGACTAATGTGAATGCTCTATTACAATTAAAGGATAGTGAATGACTAACCACAAATATTTGGTCTGACAGGAATCAGTTTCATTTTTGTGCCAGGACAATCTGGAGTAAAGGGGAATAGACAAACAAACAGGCTTGCTGGCAGGGCCACACAGGAAATGCAAAGGGTAGGACCAACATTCCTTATTATTTCAAGCAGGCAGGCAGAAGAAGAAGATGATTCAGGAGATGATGGCGAGTCTGCAACATGCACAAGACTACAAGAAATTCCGGTCAAAAGAGTGTGTCGCCAAACATAAACACTAAACAGGTGGTCAAAGAAGAAGGGCACATTTTTTATCAGTGGCCACTCGCTGGGGGATAAATTAAAGATGGGAACCAGACACTTATGAACTTGTCCGATGTGCAATGAGGATAATCTGTTGATTCACTAACTAACTCAATAACTGGTTCTCCTTGCAATAACGGTCGCTACTTGGATGGCGACGGCCGCTTAGTCGGAGTTCAGTCCCCTAGCTGCAGTGCAATTACGGAGTGGACAAGGCACGATTCACACACAAAGTGAGTTCAACATGGCTTCTAGACCACGCGCTACGGCTCACATTAGCGACCGCGTTCTTGCGACATGTGTTACCCTAACCCTACCCCTAATTATGTCATTTGTTTCGTTCCCTCTTCTCCACTCCGTAATTGCACTGCAGCCAGGGGACTGAACTCTGATGAAGCGGCCGCTGCCGTCCAACTAGCGACCGTTATTGCAAGGAGAGCCCAATAACTAATTATTTGGTGTTTAACTCTTTCAGTCCCCAATAGGTTTAAATTCAAAACATCATATCTTTAAAGGTTGCTAATTCAACAGTTGTAACATATGGCTGTGAATCCTGGACAATCGGTAGGCAGGCCAAACAATTTCTTGAGGCCTCAGAGATATGGTTTTACAGAAGAGTGCTTAGAATACCTTAGACAGCCAAAAAGAGCAACCAAGAGGTTTTGAAAGAGGCGGGAGCCTGAAGATAACTTATCACAGACATGTTATGAGAAGAGGGAAAATAGAACATGAAGTGACCACTGGAATGATCTGTGGAAGGAGGGATAGAGAAAGACAATGAGAGAAGATGCTTGACAGTCTTGTTGCATGGCATGGAGGTGTGTCGGCACATGAACTGATACATGCTGCAGGAGATCGCAGATTATGGAGAGGCATGATCGCCCACGCCAGTCGGCAAGGCACCTGAGGATGAATTTAACAGATGTTAATATCTGATAAAGGGAAATTTGTAAAGCCACGAGGCAGAAGGAGTTAACACTGACATCTGGGGCAGAGGAGGTTAATGTGTAGCACCTGGATGGGAGCACAGAGTTTAGAAAAGAAAAAAGAATTTTCAGTAAAATCTAGTAGAACATTTCAGTAAAATCAAAAATACGCGTGATTAATATGTGTGATTAGCTGCTTGACAGGAGACGAGTTAATAATATGACTATTGGTTCCTATTATGAATAATAATAAACATTTGGAGAGTCATCATAATAACCAGGAACACAAATATGTTATTGTCCACTACTGTAAGATAAGAGTGTGTAACAAACTGAAATTAAGAAATGAGGCGTATATTAAAAGGGGAATTTACAGAACTACCAAGAACTACGCAAAGAAAAACACAATTTAAAAAATGAAGGCAAAATTAAGTTCATACTTTAAGACTGAATACGATTTAAAAACTGTGAAATGAAACAGGAAGGAAATACACAGGAGAGAGAAAGTTATCACCGCTGACCTTATGGCGGACTTCGGGGTCTGCTAAGGACAACGGATATCGGCTTCCGGTTTACTTTTGCTTTCACCAGCTGTTTCCATTCGACGTCTCCCAGAAGTTTTCATGCTTAACGTTCTTCCTAATATTGTACCTTTCGTTCCCTTAGTTTTTCTTTTTCTTTTCTGGCGGTATAAGCAGTACAGGCACAACTATAATGCATTTTAACAGGCTACTGTCATAGACACTGCGGTAAGTGGCGGCAACCTGTTATTAGCCACTGGGGTAAGTTAAAAGGTTAACAATAAAAATAAAAAGACTGTGGTGAGAACCGGCACCTTCTGTTCTAGAGGCAAAAAGCCATCTTTATACTGTTATATCGTCCTCTTTTTAAAACTATGTAGGCACACGCTAATTAAATTAAAGAACAATTAATTTTATACTCAAATTTACAGGTCCAGTTACTGGCAAAAGTAGTAGTTGCAATAATACTGACTGCCAAATTATAAATAACGGAAGTAACCGGCTGCATTAATTGTTTAAAGTAAAATTAGAAACACTGTTTAACTAAGGTGGTTAAAAACATAGGTTAAACGACTCATAATCCGTGTGTACGTATAATGGCAGGGTAAGGAACAAACCGCCATACACACAACATGTTATTAGAAATGTAATCATAAGGCTGCAATGCATACACGTCACAACATTCCCTCCTCCACATTTTTCTACACGAGCTTATTAGTGTGAGCAGTAAGTAAGGACCGATTTTCACGCAGAGGCGTACTGATGCCAGACGCATATGTGTATAATCCAACTATTATTCCATGGTTGGTTTTGATAGTGTGACTCAAGCTGCCTTTACTTCCAAGAACATTTCATAATGAGATACTTAGTTTAAGCCAGGTCCACGATTGTCTGTCGTGTATTTTCAGTCAATTCTGTCACAGATGGTATTTTATTACATAGCTCATGCCGTGTAGCGTTTTGGGCCGGGTCAATACATAGATCAGAAAAACAATTTAGTCTCCATCGGGATTCGAACATAACTGAGCCAGCAGGTAAAATGTGGATAATGCGCCACTGCAGCTACGTTTCAGTCGTTTGTGATATAAGGTTTTCT